TGTCAAACTGTTAGAGTTATTTATTTTTCTTTCATTTGTACATTCGTTAGAAGAAATGGCTTATGATCTGCAAAAAAATCCCAGCTGTAACACACTGGGCAGGGAGACAAACTAGTGGGAGTCGAGTGGCCAGCTGGAATGCTCACAGGGTGGAGAAACTTCACCTATGATGTTGAGAAATGACTTTTCAGCACCAGTCAGCAGTGCTGTTCATCCATGAAATAAAAGATGGATATTTTCCCTGAATTTCTGGAGGAGCAGTTCTTGGAAACAAAGGAAATGACTCCTTTTTAAAATCTGAATCCCCCGGGCTGTTTTCAATAATGAACAAACCAAATAATTATTGTTATGCAATAATAAGTCTTACTCCCTGCTCTGATTGCTTGTCCAAATGAACTGGTATATAGTAAACATGGTTTAAAAAAACAGCTGTATGTGCACTCTTAATTGAACTGCTCTCTACCAATAAATAAACTTTTATCATCAGATAGAATTCTTTTGTATTTATAAATAAATGAAAGTATTAAGAAATTGTCCCAACTTTTGTTATCATTATTTGAAAAGATTAACATGATTAATGACTTTATATGGATCATCCAGTCAAAGCATTGTTTCTTTATTAAAATGCTATTAGATTTACTGAACCACACAATAGACCTTCTGTTCTTTATATTTTTTGCCTAATGGCACATGCACTATACAAACGAAATTAAACAAACTGTTAAAAATTCTAATTTTCAGCTACAAAATTAGCCACAGCAATAGATCTCTCATCAAATCCAGTTACAATTATGTGAAAAACTAGATATTCTCTACAGTACTGATGAAACAAATCTCTGCCTCATGCATTTACTATGTGTACTATTGAATGCAAGGACCTGGATTAGATCATTTATTTTCAGACGGACAAAAAACAGATCAGACATCTTTCCAAAACCATTTCAGCTCAAGGGAACATTCTTTTCCATGTTTCTCTTTATACTTTACAGTTAGTTACACCCAGAGGAGTACAGTCCACCAAAGACCAAATAATTGCAAAAATAATTTCAGGGAGCAATTTATCAGGGTGAGAAAAAACAATGGCCCTCTTTCAACAGAAAGGGAGAGGACCTGCCTTTGGCATTTGACACTTCTGGCAGGGGATGAGCACAATTGCAAACCTTCAGCAGTAATCGTTAAATTATAATAAAAGTGACTTTTGTTTATTTGAGTAATTAGAGCTTAACTAATTCTCTGTTCACCTTGGCTACACTTTACTTTTAATGGTGATTTGAGTTTACCCCTAGCAGCACAGTAAGGATTTGATTTGGATCCAGTTTTGCTATTTAGTTCTGTGTATGATAGTGACCCAGTTAAGCAATAAAGTAGTCTAGAAACTGAATGTATGTATCGCTGGCAGCTCTTCAGAGTACCACTGCCTGTAACCCCTTAAACACTACAAGTTGTGAACCTGTGTTTAGAAAGAGAAACTGACAATGTGGGTGCATTAAGAGTTGGAAACGGTGATTCTATGCATTTTCAGCCACTAACATTATTTTACAACTTTTGCTCTGTGACATTCTCCAACCAATGAAGAGGTAAATGGACTGGGGGACATAATAGGAGGCTAGAAATGGTGGTCAGCATATCATACCCTGGTAGGGATTTCATCAGCTATCGGACTCTTGGAAGACCGAGATCTCTAATCATGCTGTACTGTATCTCCTTATTGAAAATGTATACTATATAAGTAAATATGACCACTTTCCCTGTGGGACAGCTCTAATTCAGAGTGCTGACAGTGATATATATCACATGGTTAATTAATGAATGTGAAGTAGTCAGCCTCTGTCATTGGGATAATCTCCTTTAGCATACATAAGACATTACTTGTTCAGGTTGTTCCCATTGCTATACTGAAACTGCTATTACTGTGTTAAAAAAAGTAATTAAGTCAAGTATATTTAGTACTGTATATGTTAGTATGGTATGGCCGAAAATAAATATGCCGACATTTTGCAGTGTGGTTTCTGTCTTTCGGCGCCAGAGAAGAAGGGAGAGGAGCTTCTGGTCAATGAGTCACTGGAGTACTTTTTTCCTGTCTAGTCTTCTTGCTCCCACAGCCAAAATCAGAATGGCTCATAATTGGTGGGGTGGCTTAGCTTCATACTGAATACACTTCCAAGGTGAAAATACAGAGGGTTCATATCTGTGAAGAGCTATGAGGGGAGTCTCTAAGACCAGTGTCCAGTGATGCACTTGGATCAGTTTTGAGTTCTCCGTCTCGGTATCAGTGAGGAGAGACTGTTAGAGGTGACTGTAGTGAAACCGATGTGACCCACTTGAACCACATGCCAATGGTTAAGTGAATAGCCACCTGGAGGTTTCCTACTAGCTCACTCATCATGTTACAGTATTTAACCTCTTGTATATCGTCTCTTGCTCAAAATGACTCCATAGACAACGTTGGGTCACCAGCAACCAAACCATCTACATGGGCCAATCAATCAGTCTCCCCTGTCATTTGTATGATTACAAGCAGGAATGCTTTTTCTTTTTAAAAAAAAAAAGGTAGGATCATCAATTATCTTTATCTCAGAGCACTGTGAGGACACTGGAAGAATGAAGAAGGGGAGACAGGCTCCTGACCCACACATTCAAGAACTTGTTCGTCATTCATTTTCACTCTGCAAAGCTGTACAGGATGTTCAGCGCTGATAGGAGGAGATGTGTCCCCCCACAAGTTGGAAGGCTCCTGGAAAATTGCTGGGTTTATAGTTTCACCAGGAGCCATGATGTGAATGTATTCTCTAGTAGTTTGCAGAATAAGTTCAAATCCAGAGTTCCTCTTGCTGGTCCTGGTCAATACTGTGCTGCTGTAAACCTAAAAAAACAGGTTACTGCTGTAAGATGTGTTTGTGGATCAGTAGGTGGTACTCTTCTCTCCAGACAACAATTTCCAAAAGCAGTACCCCAGTATGTCGACCAGAGACTGCTGTAGTGTTATAGAAATCCAATCATTACTCCTTATTGCTCCTTAAATTTCTGTTATTCAATGGACCCTCACAAGGAGCTCAACATGAACACACTTTATCTCATCCTACGTTAGTTTCAGTATTTCTTAACCATAAGATTTAAAATTGTATAAATTAAAGTATCCCAGAGTAGAGATGGAATGAAAACTTGGAGACCATTTTGTCTCCTAGTGTATCATTGTAGTGACAGTGATTGGGAGAGACTTCTTCCAACTGTTGGGGTGAAGCATTTGTTAAAGGCCAAAATATATTGAACTGTTTAATTCTAGGTTTTTGTTTCAGTAGAACACAATTGTAATTCTTGAGAGACAAAGCCCAGTAACTCCTTTCCAATACCTCACTCTCTGGTTAGGGTTCATTTTGGTCCTATTAGTTAACTTGCCATTGAATTGCTCAAGGTACTGTTTTGACAGAAACAGTCCTTCATCTTTTGTCTGTTGTTGTATATCCCTCTCTCCACAAGGTGTGCTCTCTTTTAACATCTCCACCTGATGGGATTGAAATTTTGGTATTAGGGGTGGGCCAAGCTCTCAAGGCGTATACACATAGGCAGCAGAGTTATTGGTCAGAAACTAATTTAAAAAAAATACTATCAGGTCAACATTTCAGAGTACCAAAGTTTTATAATTGTATTAATTTATCATTAATTCCGAGTGCCATTACTCTTTTAAACTCTGATGTATGAGCCCCTTCAGAGCATTGTATTGATAGTATGTATACAGTATGTATGTCACACTTGAATTGTGTGTTTATTGTGCTGTATTTTTACATTGTATAGGTATTGTCTCAGTGACACAAAAGGAAATTTTCTTCTGTATGAATACAACAAAGCAGACTTTGATTATGTACTATACTGCCTTCATAGTCTTTTATTATCCATGACAGTAATGTGCTTTTCTGTCCTCAGAATGAGCGCTGCCTGCCCTCCACTGGCAGTCTGGAAGCATTACAAACGTGAAAGTGAAGAACTCTGTAAAGACAATTTGTGAGTCTCCACAGAGAACTACAGTACCACAGCCTTGGGCACTTAACCATTTGCTAGACTACACTCTGGTACGAAAATATTTGCAAAGAAGTTTATTTCTTTGCATAAAGCATGTCACATTTCTTTAAGTTGCTACAAAAAAATCGTACAAATGAGAGGAAGCCATTGGGCCCACAGGGCTTGTTTTTTAGTCACTGATTTATCTAAGAATCTCATCCTGTCATTTATTAAAGGAAAGCAGGTTATTGGCAGGGCATTGTGTTCCACACCCCCACAACCCCTTGTGCATGTGTACATGTTTCACTTTTGCTTCTGAGGAAGTGCGTATGTTTGACTTTGTGAATGCCTTTGAAGATTTTGGATACTTGAATCAAACACTCCTTGATTCCTCTCTTTTACTCCTCTCTGTTAAAAACTAAAAAGGATCTTTACTCTTAAAGCCCAGGGATGTACTTGATTTTTATTTTCTGAATTTATTCCAGAGCAGTAATATCTTTCTTGTCTCTGGGTGACCAAAGCTGTACACAGTAGTGAGTACATGACCCCTACATTTGTAAAGATCCTACAATCAGGTCTCTCATGTCAGCTCCTGACAGAACATTTTGCAAATTATTATTTTTGTAGTTTGGATGGCTTTCTTCTCAGATACTGTATATTGCCTATAATAAATATTCTTTCCTTTTGTATTGAGTGGGAGATGTTGAAAGGAATAAAGCACTTGTTTGACAAATCTGATATTGTTGCTTTGGATTTTGATTTTTTTTTCCTGATGAAACCCTGTTCTGATATAAAGTAACTTGTTTGTAATTCATATTGTGTTTTCTTAAGGAACATAGATCTTTATATATTTCTATGTGGCATTGTAATGATAGAGAGATAAAACTTTGAATGATCTAATTGTCACAGAACATAACATGGAAAATTCATAGCCCTGTCAGTCTCTATTAGCTTAGGTACAGCATCTCACTGACTGATCTAAAATACAGACTCAGTCCAATGGATATGTTGTCATATTCTTTTAATATTCTCTTTTAAGAAGCAAATGCAAGAAAGTTGCAGGGACAATCAAAGATCATAAAAAGTATTGATTCAGTTTTGACATAATTATGGAGATTATTACAGTCCTTTGTCTTTGTGCATGAGTTCTGTTTTTTTACACTGATGGTATTGGACTGCTTCTGTCAGTGTTTTTAGAGGCAGGTGTGCTTAGGCAGTGTTGCAAGACTCTGGGCTTTTTCACCGGGCTTGTACATCTCACTGTCCGTCACCATGGGTAGAAAAGGCATTCCTGAGGCGGCTGAAAGAAAAATTGTTTTAAAGAGCTTGACATTACTGTAGACTTATTTGAGGTGCAGAGGGTCTTTTCAATTGTGAGAACAACTTAGCTATCCATAAAGCAAGTGGTTGTAACACTTTTAGCATGTTTTTTGAACAGCTGCTTGATAATAAATATTTAAATAATGGATGTTGATGTGGAGAAATGGAGGTTTATGGGCAGAATTGTGTTGGAATTGCATGTTTTATCAGTAATCCCATCCCTGCCCACCCTTGTTAGGGGTCTTAGTAGTCTAAGGTGCTGTGTTTGGGTCTTTTCTGGAGGCATAGGTTCAAATCTCACTCCTATCACTCTACTGGTTCAAGATAACTGCAGTGTGGTGTGGTTAGAGCACTAGACTTGTAAATGGAAAAACTGGGTTCAAAACCTAGGACTACAGATGCTGGACTCCTGACCAAGGTGCTCTTCTCTCTTACTTTCAAATACAGTAAATGAACAGATGAATAAATAGGTATGAATATAAGTTACTCTGGATAAAAGTGTCAACAAAGTAACTTATATATGTGGAAAAAGCCTTTAAAACCAAGACGAGACAGCTCTTTATGCCAAGGGTCATAGTGTGAAATAACTTACCCAGTCATGATACTGATACCCTGACTTCTTTCAGAGCCACTGACAACCAAACAGATTTGATGGACCAAATTGCCTCCTCTCATTTGAATCCACTCTTATAATATTCTTTTTTTATATTCTTTTTTTTTTAACCTTGGACAGAGGATACATCTTCACAAACACTGTACTTAGTAAGAGTATGTTGTTCTTACATTGGGAACCTTCAAAGACATTGTAAAAATGACAGAAGGGGCAGTAAAGGCCCTTACTTCTAAATGGAAGACCAGAGTGAATACAAGAAGGTGATGAACTTATTGCCAAGTCTGACAAAAAGACCTGAACAGAACTTACTGGTGGGCACAGGAAGGATGACTGAAGAAAGGTGGCCTGGCAACAGGACATGTGATTCTGCTATGTCAGGAGTCAGCGAGGCCAGAGGCTGGGAGAATGCTAGGATGTCTGTGTTGTCTCCTGCAAGGCAAAAAGAGACTCACCTTCTGACAAACAGTTTTTAAACACAATGCCTTAAGTGAGACCAAAGAAGGACTAGCTCAAGAGGGATTTTCAAGTTTATTTTATTTCTTTTTAAAAAGGCTTGAACTTTGAGATGTATTTAACTGAACTACCTTCTTTTTGTAAGGACAAACAATATTTATTTTTACCTGCAGTAGATTTTTAGTAATCTAAGTAGACATAATCTTTAGAAAGCACAGGCTGAACGATGACCTTTGCTGCCAGTATGGTGTTGTCATTGGGTTATGTGCCTCTCCTCCAGTTGGTGCTGGACTAGGAGAACAGGCTGTGTTGCCTATGGTCTGTTGAAAGTTTTTTTCACGCACGGGTTTTTTGACAGTGGGGGAGGTTCTGTTACCCTCTTCCTTACGATTGCTGTTCCCTCAGCCACACAAATTACACCAGCTAAAAACAACTAATCCGCATTTCAGCTCTACTTCTCATCAGTTAGAGTTTGACCGAATAACCCTTTAAGAACAGATTTAAGGAAAAACAATCTCAGAGTACGTTGAAAAATAATCAGATTTGCACATTTCTGATTGCCTTAGTCCTCGAGAGCTTTTCCCCCACTTAGTGAATACAGTATGTACAGTACCTTCTCCTCCTCTCCCGGTCTGTTCTCCGAGCAGCATCTCCTGCAGTAGGGTGTCCACATGGGCGTCTCCCAAAAGCCGGGCCAGCTGTAGCTGCTCAACCATTTGCCAGGCCACACTCTGGAGAGGGGGCAGCATGAGGAGCAGCTCACCGAACCGTCCGCGCTGTTCGCTTGCTGCTTCTTCTAAGAGGATCTGAGCCTGGAACCTCATCTGCTTCACTGTGTTGCTTGTCTCTATTCCTGGGCATTCTGACAGAGAGACACAGGGACTTGAAGTATAACCTCTGAAGATGTTGGAGACCTTTACCAAAGTGCCAGAGATCTCTGGGCACCCTTGATAGTTTTGTACACTTTGCTTGACACCCGAGATGGACCTGAGAGACCTCAGGAGAAAATGTTCAATGCTTTTCATTGGCAATGGACCACTTTACAAGTTATCAAAAGAATCACCTCATGAGAACTTTCCATTAATTCAGTGCTACTGTATAACCGAGTATACAAGCCACCTGTATAGTGCCAGAATATTGTACTACAACACATAGTACTCACAGACTTGTCCTCAGAATCTTAAAACCTGAAGGTTTTAAGACATTCCAAGTATAGAACAGATAAACTGTTGTTAAAGAGAATTCCTCGTCTAATATATGAAATATCTTTAATGGAGAAGAAAAGCAGTGCCTGACTACCAGGGTCAAAGAAGATGATGGTTTTGAGGCAAGCGAACTCGGCTTCTGTAACCTCCAGCTCTCTCAGGGGCCTGATGAGTTCCTCCAGGATACGGGCCGCCAGCCGGGACACCTCAGGCTCAGGGCCTCCTACCGATATGATGAAGTCATTTCCTGGAGACGCAAAATCAGAAAGAAGCTTAAAACGGTAAAAAGAGCTGCATATGTAAGCTCTCCTGTAAGTCAGTAGACTAAGTAAAATTGCTCATTTTATGAAACATGAAAAAGGAAATGGGGGTCCTTCCAAGTGGCTTCTACCAGTGAAAAGTACTCATCCACGCTCATGAACCCCTGTGGCCTCCAGAGCACTTGCAGGAATAAAGTGCTGTAGGTGAGGGAACGTGCTGTGTTGTCTATGACATCCTTATTTCTCTGCATTTAAGAGAACTTGGTTAGTGTTTTAGAAACTAATACTAACATGAATTTCTCCACCGTAGCTACAGAACCATGCTGTTAGCATCCTGACTGTCACCCATCCCAGGAAAGCCCTGTAAAATTCCATGGCCACATCAGCCCGCTTCCCTTTATCTTTTCTCCCCTTTGCAGTTTCATGTATTTTTGGGTTTCCTGACATGTCATGAGGGGCCCATCCATCAGCTGGGTGGTACAGTACATTCCCTGCTGACACCACAGCACAGAGTTTGGCTGTACACTTCAAGCAGCGTGATGTTCAGGAAGCAGTTGATGACTGTGTGTATTTCAGCTCTGACAGCTGTGTTTTTATGTTTGTTGTGAGTGTATCTAAACACAATCCAAACATGGCCTCTTCTAACTCAGTCAAGTAAGGATATAGGACCCTGATGGGGTGACTGGAGTTTAGCCAGACCTATGCCGCCTCGTATTCTTCCATACGTTTAGACCAGGAACCTATCCCGGTGACATGGACTTATTTTAGATGAAAAACAGGCCCTGGAAGACGCATTGAATTCCGACACAAGGTCAGCATCCAAAAACCCTGTCTGTTCTTTATGTCTGATGACTTTCCAGATATGACGCAAGTGTGGATTACTGTCCTTGGCAACACAAAGAGGGAAATGAGGCCTCTCTTACCCAGAAGCAGGATGTTATCAAAGGGAAGAGACCGGCGAGCCACCCCCAGGATCAGGTGCTCCGCGGAATGGGCACGTAACAGGGCCACCTGTGCATACCGACTTGAAGTTAGCCAGAAGTATGTAATGACTGCTTTACAGTTACAAAGGTGTGCTCCACTGCACAACACACAGACTCACAAAAACACAGTTAATCTGAAGCATGCATGTGCCGCTACACATTTACAAGAATGAGACGGAGAGATGCCTTGGCAGCCAGACATTATTTACCCTAAAAAAACTCAAATCCACCTGTCACATGGTACAGTACATTAAAATAGCCAGGCTTGTACCCTGTCATCCAGTGGGAGCCCGCAGAAGGCTGGGATGTGTTTTGCCCACTCCACCAGCAGGAGAAGCTGCTGCTTCATGGACTGGCACACGTCCGCAACGCTGGCGATCTTCTTAGTGCTGATGTCCGTGATGTGGAGTGGGTTCAGACATGAGGACTGCAAAACGCACACAAGCCAATCACTCGCCAGCCTGCAGCAAATACCCATGTCTAATTCCCAGTGAGCACAAACACAGTGAAAACAAGCCCCCTTTACAATCAGAAAGCACAACCAAAAAACTTTGTGAGCCTAAAAATACATTAAAGCTATCTGATGGGAGCCCACAAAACCTTCTTTATAGTGGTCAAGCAATTTCTAAATTTCTACCTACAATCCTGCTAGATTGTATAACAGTATAACAATATTTCAGCTCCTATACTACATACAGTGTACTGTATGATATGAAAATACTACTAACACTGCAGAAGCATGTACTGTATGTGCATCATCCCCTGAACCAGAGGATGCAAATGGAAACTAAGGGAAATGCATTTCAACTTGAAAACGGCAGGCACTTCCTTACACAAAGTCTGGAACAAGGTATCCAGTCATGTTATTGAAGCCACTTCCCTGGCTTCTTTCAAGAAATGTCTGGATGAAATCCTTGGCTCAGTTAGCTGCTCAAAGACCAAATACGTTAGATGGGCCAAATGACCTCCACTCGTTCTAATCTTCTTTATGTTCTTCTGTTCTTTTAAAAACTGTTTTTTTAAGTGGGTTGAATGCAGACTCGAATGTGAAATATAATCTTTAACATGAAAGTTTCCATGGGGTCATGCAGTCAACTATTAGAATGTCCCCCTTTCTAAGAAATTGAAATGGTTGGCAGGATGTACGAATTGTACCCCAGAAAACCCGATAACAGGAAACGTGCCTTTCAGTACAGAAAACCTCCATCTGACAGGCCAAATACCTGCGACGAGTGGAAATCAAACACCTTTTTTCCTTTTAAAATATTTGTGTAGTAAATTAAAAACTGTTGCACTCTTTCTAGAATTTTAGGGAGCTGATTCTACTCCATGAAAAATAGCAGCACCCAAGACTGAGGTGCATGTGAGGACATTTATTGAGTGGTCAGGTATGGTAGGATGAGCCTGAACCCACTTGGCTGTAGGGTGAGGAGGTCAGGACACCCAAGGAGATAGGGCAGTGGAGCAATACTTGAGACAAAATGAGAAAGAAAGGTTTATTTCTGCTACAATTTTCGGGAACTGATTATGATATATATATACAGCTGGGGTAAAAGAGACTGAACTCCATTTAAATATTTCAACAAAAGCATGCAGAGACTAGAACAATCTCATTGTGAGTAATTCTGAGCTGGACCCTTGAGTCACCCTACCTGATGGACCTTAGCCTCAGCTTGCACCAGGACACTGAGAGACAGAAGCCCTTCTTCCTCTGCACCTGCTCTGCGGCTGCTGATCCTGTCCCTCTCATTCTGCACTGCTGAGAGGGAGGTTTAAAGGCACAGTCAAAGAACGCCATCAACATTGGTGACTAGAATACAAGATTTCATCAGGTACTGCTGGTTACTTTTAGTTCTCTGAGACCTGACTTCTGCATATCTTCAAAAATATGAAATATTGCTTTAAATTAACAATTTAAGATTTGGAAGGACTTTCTAAGACATCTTATGTGCAAGAGAGGGATGAAAGTGGAAAATAAAACTGCCCTGGGAGCAATTTATGTTTGAGTTCATGATGTACCAAAAAGGTCATGATGTAATAACACATTTTCCTCACTGTAAAATTGTTTAAGGAAGTTTTTGGAATGTTACTCTGGGAACAGGTTGGATTCTGTCCCAAAAAAAGGAGAACATCTCATTTGCCAGTCCTTCCTTGTGTCAGAAAATAATTTGAATTCCTTGACTTTGATTCAAGGCTCCTTGGAGGCAGACGACAGGTTGAGTCCAATCTGAAAACAATTAGTCAGAGAAGCGGCACTCTCTTTGGCTAATCAAATCACTATTAATCAAACCAGTAAAAATGTAATGGAAACTATTTCTCAGTAGTGGAAAATACTGTATAGTTATGGGTCATGTCAGAAACAAGGTATTGCTGTTACAAAGAGCAGAAGCTGCTTTGCATTATATTTTAGTTCAGCTAGGGACCACAGGATCACTGTAAACTGGCAATAAGGTGTCACTATCAGGGTAGGTGGCCTTAATGGCGCTAGGAACTGTTAAAAAATAATTTTCATTTAAAATGCAGGATACCACACTGTATGTCCTTGAATACGGATGTAATAATGTTAATACTATAAATCACAAGAGAAATAGGAATGACATTCCTTGAAACCCTCAGATGTTGTGGATTATTTTCAGAAACAGTTTTGGCACAATTACAATTCATTCGTGGACATTACTTTGCCATTGAGACGCAACAGGACAAATGATATACCCAGTGGCCAAGTAAGGCTGATAAAGGGATGAAGAAGACTAACACCAAATCCATGAACAGGGAATCTGCCAATTCCCATAGATTTTTACAGTACATTTGGGAATTCTTATTTTCCCTTTTATTAGAAACTACATGGATGCTGTTTTGTACAGTTACACAATAATTAGAAAAACAAAAATCTAATAATATAGTGCCTATCTTTCCATTAAACACTGACCCAAAGACTGCAGTGGTTCATTTAAAAAGCTTATTTTAGAAGCTGCTGTACAAATAAACCATGACTACAGAGAAGAATGCTCAGTCACTCCCTCACTATATAGTACTTTCACTGGGGCTTTACTTTGACACTCTTATCTGGAGATTTAGCAATTCTGTAATCAAACTAACCTTCAAAAATGTGTTATCAGATTGACGGCACTACCTTGTGTAATTCTTCTGAAGTCATTAACGGTATACCAGATAAAAGGATCATAATGTTAAATACACCATAAATAAATTACCCTTTAAGTTTTATGTCTTATGTCTTTGAATTGTACAGGAAGTAAAAGTTCTTTTACGTTGCAGAAACAACAGTTTTTCACTTTGTTTTTACGCATTCATGGGTATTTATTAATGCCTTATCTCTTACTGTTTTGCTGATGTAGTCACTGTGCAGGTCACTGACTGCAAGGTCTGAGTTTCCTGTAGCACACGGTACAGATCTGTGCTCACCTTCCCTCCTCATGCCAGCTCTGAAGCACTTGCGGAGGCGGCAGTATCGACACTGGTTTCTCTTGTCTCTATCCACAATGCACTGCCTGCTGAACCTGGGAAAACAGGCATGCTTTGGCATACAGCAGTGAACACGGCAGGTACCATCACACAACCCGTGTTGCAGCATCATCCGCTTGAAAGCTAATCTGGAAAATTAGCTTCTTGTCTGCTTTGTGGACATTGTTTATTAAACAGATGAAGGTGCTTAAAAGAGTAATGACGCTTTGACTTTCTGTAGATTTTGTAAGCTCCATTCCGTCTTCATGAAGTGAGACAGCTACCTGGGCAGTTTAAATCCTGAAAGATTAATAGATCCCACATAAAGTCCCTTTGATTTGCGTACAGCTGCAGCCCTAGTAAACCTTATAGATTTGAACCACAAATGTTCATTGTAAAGCAATCAGACCAAGGATTTGCATTGATTTGTCCAATAGATTTCCATTTGAGCATAATATATGTTTACATTCCCTGCAGGTGTACAAAAGCTCATAGCCAGATGGTATATCTAGATATTTTTGCACTTGGGGGATTATGTGTATGTCCACAAAATAAAAACAACTAGGATTTTGCATGTTGTGCCTTTTTCAAATAACATAGTAGTATAAATACTAGTATAAAAGATTTCAGTATATACATATATTCTCACGTCCTCACACCTGAAGAAGGCTCCAGGGCCGAAACGGTGTTTTATTCTTTTTTTTTCTGCATGGAATAAACCTATTACTTGTTTCTGAAGTCCATCCATCAAATATATAGAAGAGAGGCTACTGTTCATGTGAATTTAGAAAGGGCAAATTTTCTGGATATGCAGATTATATAGGATCCTAAAAATGTAACCAAATTAGTTTAAAAGAGATCAGAACATATAGTTGTATTAAACACTTTAGATGCATTAATGGGAAATTCACCTACAGCTACAGATGTGCTTTTTGTCCTCTTTCCAGACTAAGCTGCAGGTATGAATGGGGTTACACTTGCCTGCAGGTATGAATGAGATTACATTTAACTTCAGGTATGAATGAAGATACACAAGCCTGCAGGTATGAATGAGGATATGCTAACCTGAATGAGGTTACACTGAGCTGTAGGTATGACTGAAGCTACTGTAAACTGGAAGTATAGACGAGGGTACAGTGAGCTACAAGTATGAGTAAGGATGCACTAACCTGCAGGTGTAGACATGATTCTTTCTGACACTCCTCCTAAAGAAGCCTTTACAGCCATCACAGCTGGCAGCCCCATAGTGCTTCCCCGTAGCACGGTCAGCACAGATAGAGCACAGAAACACATGGCTGTTGGACTCGGGTAACAGTGAGGCGGGTTCTGGCATCAGGAGATCTGCCAATCAAATCACCTGGTTAGCTGCAGTGCAAGACAAGTGCCCGTCTGGACTTAACCAGTATAGTAGGCCTAAAGGAGACACACTTTTGAATCTGACTCATGGTGTGGTGTTTTTTTTTATTATTACATATTGATTTAATGAACTAATCACAGCCATTGTGTCTATACAGAGCTGTGATCTCCAGTGTCGTTTGGGACCCATTCCTTTCTAGTTTGACACTTTCCATTGTTTCCATTCAGAGGCCAAAAGCTGTGGCCCATAAACTCGAAATTGCATTTTGTTGGTCTGGAATGAGTACATTATTCGAATATGCTGTAGATGGATCAGCAAAACCTTTATTACATGTTTTAAATTCTTTAAGCAGAAACGATGAATTTGAAAATAAGATGCCAGTGATCAGATCGTAACAATTTTGTGATGCTAGAAGTTAAGGATCAGTTAGTCATAGATCAATTTCATTGAATTCCAAGAATACAATACAGATGGGAGTACAAGCACAGACCAATGTGTGTTAATCACAAGTAAATGACTTCTTGTTAGTTGATTTAAAGTACATAAACAAGTCTTCTGGTTCAGCAGGACAAATTATTCTTTTAACGTGTTTTGACTTTAAGATCATTGTAAATAGTGGGTTTGCAATGTTTACTCAATTTGATCTCTATCCTTTTTACAGTCTGATATTCTTGTATCATATATTAATCCCAATATTACAATGCAATGTAAAAGAGATTAAAGAAAACATACTGGAATATCATGGAATTTTGTTTTTCTGGCGTGAGAAAAACATAGTGCCATGCACTTTAAAATTCCTCAGCTTGTGGGAGCCAAAATAACTGTGATTGTTTCAACACATGTTCTTCTTGGCTGCTTCCCCATACACGTAAAGTGTTTCTGAATAAGGTGCTACTTACAGGAGACTGTAGCTGGGTGTTTGTGCATGTTTGAGTGTTGATGTGAAGGAGTTTGTTTGAGTGTCCGAAAACAACAACGAGGCACATACCGGCTTTCACTGGAAGGATACTCATACTATCAAACTCCAACATCCCGTAAGAGGGCTCAAGGGTCATGGTGTAATCAGCTGTGTCCGCGTCCAGCGCAGTTCTGGACAGTTTCATCACACCCAGTATTGCCAGACAAGGACCAGACCAGATTAGGCCCAGCTGGTGGTCAAGTTTACTTCCAGCTGAATCGCCCTAATGAGCTGAAGGTCTTCACCTGTACAGTAAGGCACCCTTTTGCCGAGCACACAGGATGCAGTGATCCACATTTCCAGTCATGCCGTAATGCTGGAAATTTAAAAAATGATGTAGATCCTAGATTGGTAAAAGGTTTTATCTCGGGGGTACAGCAGAAGACCCTCTAATCAATCGCCTTCTTCCTTTCTTTTTATTTCCTCTCGGCACTCCTCGTTTCCCCCTCTCGTCTTTGTTCTTTGCCTTCAACCAGTTTATCTTTTCTTTTAAAAAAAACAAATGTAGCTTTCCTGCAGACCGTTTGTGATCTCCTGAAGGTCAGCCCTTGCTGTTGAGTGTACTTGTTTTTCGATTTTGCATTAGGAACTATTCAAAATCAGTGTTAGGAAGACTTTGGCCCAGTGTATCAGGATATCAGTCCAGAGAGAAAAACATTCCCATCTTGTGTTGACTAACTTTCTCTTATCTAAACTCCCGTGTACTGACGTGTACTGTATGTAATGGGGGGTCAATAAAATGTCAGGAGGATTAGCTTGTAAAGATAATATATTTTTATTATTTTTATTTTAACATATAGTTGTATTAAACACTTTAGATGCATTAATGGGAAATTCACCTACAGCTACAGATGTGCTTTTTGTCCTCTTTCCAGACTAAGCTGCAGGTATGAATGGGGTTACACTTGACTGCAGGTATGAATGAGATTACATTTAACTTCAGGTATGAATGAAGATACACAAGCCTGCAGGTATGAATGAGGATATGCTAACCTGAATGAGGTTACACTGAGCTGTAGGTATGACTGAAGCTACTGTAAACTGGAAGTATAGACGAAGGTACAGTGAGCTACAAGTATGAGTAAGGATGCACTAACCAAGGATGGTTAGCAAAGGATGGTTACCAAGGATAGCAAAACAGCCTATATAATCTTATATAAAAAACAAAATCTGAAAACTAAGTAAATGAAGAAAAATAAAGTTTAAAAAGAATAATTCCAATGATTTCTCAGTTTCTGTCTTTGGGCTATGCCCTCTGTTGGAAACCAAAGGTATTGCAATACTATTATAAAAATGAACCAGTTGTAGCAGGTATAGCATAATGAATGGCTAAGATCTTATAAGATATTTCAAAATAGATTCCCATTCTATACAGATATAATAAGAGCTAATTTTGATACATTTGTCCTTTTACATTTTGAATATCCCTTATTCAAATGCCAGGAGGGGATTGATATTTGACATTATTGAAATAAAGAGCTATTGAAATGCCAAGCTCTCCTATTTCTATAGAAATTCAGAACTTGTAGCCCTCTTGATGTAGTTTTGTACATGGTCCAAAGGCTGTGGATGGTGGTTCTCTCTGTGTTTGAGATGTTCTGACATTTGTACTTCAGACAGTAAGAAGGGCTAAATGACATCATGTGCCACCTTTGCCTTGTGGTCTATCAGAAATTCGGCACACTGCCCTGAATCAGAGGGTGAATGAAATACTGTGACTAATACACCTTCCTCACTTCTTAAATTGTACTGCCCCAGTTTGCAGCAGGCCAGGTGATGCTGTCGGCTACTGTACTTCTCCAGCATGGTTACGGTTTACTGCAAACAAAAAAGTAACAAAAGATGATATACTAATATATTCCTTACTGCCATAAAAGATGAATATCAAGAGTGCTGAAAGCTCAGCTATTTTTATTAATAAGGAATCTGTAAGTGATATACTGTATTACCCCTCCTACTGTACATCACTGAACATATAAAAAGAGAGCTAGTCACAAATTAAGGGCTACTTTGCCCCTTTTGCATGTAAGAAATCAAATTATGTTAATAAAGCACCACACATATATTATACTGTAAAGAATGGTGGAAATGGAATTACACTTAATAAAACATTTAAAAATGCTGAACTTGTATAACACATGAATAAAGAAATCTCTGTACGGTATATCACACAAAAGGCCACTATACCATGGTAAGCTGGAAAAAAGAGTAGGGTAGCTGGCATCAGTCATGAGCTTCACAGGAGACTTATGGTGACTTAGCACCTACCTCTACTCGCAGAGTAATTTCTTTGCATTTAAAAAGTCTGAAGCTACTAGTTTCCCACTGCCATTATGTTGCCAGATGCAGTTAAGTATAGAACCAGTTTGATTTGAAGGAAATAATCAAATTCTATGACATCTTTATAGCAGTTCCAAGCCATGCCAGGTTTAGTGGAGTGAGACTCTGTAGGACTAAGATGTGTGCCAGTATATTTCAGTGTATTTGTCAAGGACCGTGTCACCCTGTTAGACACAGACAACAGTCTCAATTTAATTATGCTCCATAGAAAATTGAGAAAAGTATCTGTGCCAATACTGTGTGGCTGTGTTTTTGAGACAGACGGCACATTTACGTTTTACACATAAAGCACATTTGAACTTACTGTATGTCGGGGTCAAAGTAGACATTTTTCTCTATTTAAACCAGGTATTTATGGAGTAAGTACTTTAACATCAAACTGCTTTCCTGGGAAAATGTGAACAAACTCGAGACCTATTATACTGCAGAGATGATTTCTCATTAAAAGCTCTGGAACATTTTTTTATAATGAATCCCAGGACATTTATAAAGTCAGAGGTCTGAGTTCAGGAAAAAGAGAAGTACAGGACCATCCCCCAGTATTTCCATATTTTAATGGACAGATACTTCAGGCTGTTCGATGCTCCATTTCTGCTTTACTTAAATTTCCAGTAAATGAAAAACAAACTCAAAAAATAAATAATACATATAAAACGTTGTGTAATGTGTGTGTGCATCTGTGTGTCTGTATGCACTATTCATACAATTTTGTGAATTCTAACAAATTATATATCAAATAAAATATTAGTTTTTCAAGAACAATAATATCCATCATCCTTTGGAGTAATCTAATTTGTTCTGTGAACACAAACTCTCTGAATGTCATGGGGATAGTGGATCTGCAATCCTCTGGCTGCAATGCTGACATCACAGCTTCATTTACTTGACAGATAGTTCATAAAAACCTATAAATCACAGAAAATGACCGGGTGTATGGTGTGTTTTTTTACTCAAAGTATTGTTCTCAGAGTAGTGTGCTCTCTTCCATTCTTTTCCTTTTAAAATCCACTTATTTCATAATTTGTGACCTCTGATTTCTGTCCATTCAAGAGAGATTTAAGCACACAACCATATCAGGCATATAACTTTAGTACTACAGTATATAATACAGTTGTGACCAAATTATATTCTGAAGAAGAAATAATTGATTTAATGAGTTGGATTAGCTACCTTTTTTGGTCCTCTTGTGTTTTAAACCATTGTCATTTGCTCATAAATTACATGTGACTTTGTTTTGCTAGGACATTTCTATGAATACCTACAGGTCATCCATGGATGATCTCTATGCAGTATATGGTTCATTGAGGTTCGCTTCAGAAGCAGACCATATAAGGTCCTTGCTTACAAAATCTGAAATTAGTGAAGCAGCAGTGATTGAGACATGTACGATGTGGTATCATACTCTTGAGCACATTTGTTGAAATGTGGGGAGGAAAGGTTTTTCAAACACTTTCAGAAGGGCCCAAAAAATAAACGTTTTTGCACTTGGTTGCTTTTTAGGAACACCAAAAAAAATAAATAACCGTGAATTAAAAAATGCTAATATTTTACTCTGGGTTAAGTGTGTGGAAAATCTGTGCTCATTTAAAAAAAAGATTTAATATTAAGAAGACTGCTAATATTGCCCATCAGAGGGAGACAAAGTACAGTTCATAATTATGTTGGGTTTTAGATGTCCAAGGTTCTGCTGCCTGTTTAGATGGTAAATGGCACAGACTCCTTTGATACAAACAAATGGGATGTGAAGGATCTAGACAAACTGGTGGAGTTTTGCCCTTGGTCTGCAGTGTCAAAGGTGAAAGCCACCATCACGTATCTCTACTATCTGGTTTGGAGAGCAAGAGAGTGAACTGTTTAAAATTGCTTCCTTACCAGTTGCTAAATAAAGTCTGCTTTTACAAGAATTTAGAAATATAAAGCCAGCTTTAGACACAATATATTGTAATTCCATACGTGTTCTCTCTCGCTGGACTCGGTGAGATATTTAAAATGAAAAGAAAAAGGGTGTAGGTGTGCTTATTGATTTTGAATTATTTATTTAACCAGATCTACTCAATTGAGAAATATTCATGTTCAATAACAACCTGGAGAGAACTCATTTATACTGTATAGAGCTTGAGGGCTTTACCTTGCTGAACGGTACTCAGAAGGAGCCCATCTTGGACTTTTTAACCCAGAGCTTAACCACTAGTCCATGCTGCTGTATTCCAAGCCATTCGTTCTCATTTTACTTTGCTTCACACCATTTACAAACATTTTAAATGTAACACAGGTGAACAAAAACAGGGTATTATTTCATTATTATTTTCATTGCTCCTTCACTCTCAAATGTCAGGAAAACATAGTTGAGCGCAGTATGTAGCATGCTCACAAGCTTCAGACACTCACTGACCAGCACTGCTCCTGACTGATTACTTCAATGGCATTCTCACAGTAAAGGAGACCTTCAGTCGCAGTGAGCAACACCCCACCAGAGACAAGTTTAAATCAATGAGGGAAAAATCGGCCAAAGCCATTTCGAGCTGGCCAGGACTGCCTCTGTAAACCCTTCCAGGCGGGGGCAGTGCTTTGATTTACACCAGCCTGTCAAAGTTCATCATTATGATCTGCAGCTGGGTGACAACGAATGGGACATCGGTGACACTAACAGGAAGGGTCAACAGGAATCTGCTGAAGGGAAAGGGGGAGGTTATATATTCATTAAAAATGTATTGCTTTTCCCTGCCTTATTTTTCCTAGGGAATGCAGGACTGGATCCAGGTTTAATGGCAGAGTTGTCCCTCTGTGGTAGGCTCTGGAGAGACGTGGTTTCAGTGCAGGGAACAGAGAGAGGCTGCGGAAAAAAGGCCCAGCCTGAGACAGGGAACAGCAACAAAAAGGAAACACCTGAGTTTCACAACCACAGAACTCAACAGAACCAAGATGACTATTAAACCCGAACATGCAGATGTAACAGGCTTTTACAAATGCAATTACCATCAGCCACATTAAATGAGTGCATGTGTGGGACAGGACACTACAAAATCTCTAGAAATTATTTTTACATTCTGATACTTTCCCGATTTTAATTCTATATCTTACTCAAATTGGTTAAAGCACTTGCCCTCAAATTTCGGAAAAGCAGTCCTCATGCTCAGTGAAAAAGAAAAATGAAACTGGAAATATATTGTCTCAACATTACATGGATACAGGACTTTGGTTATATTATTTGTGCAATGAGGTGCATGGAAGACAAGTAGATTGCTTGCAAAATGTATTAGTTCACCTGGAGCCATTGTGCGAGAATGGGAAGGTCTGAATAAAGTAATCTTCACTCAGGGGA